CTTATATATATATATATATATATATATATATTTTTTTTTTTTTTTTTAGTGCAGAGAGTGTTGGGTTGCATGTACTTTATTTTCAAGGATTTATTTCTATATGCCAATTTTTTTTGAATATGAGGATTGTTGCCCTTTAGAGAGTTTATAGGCTCCTATCCAAACAAAAAGGGGAGCAAGTAATTTTTCATTGCGACTTCCATGGATGAGACATATCTTCTTATGGTTAACATCCACTTTTCAGTTAACAGTTACAACTATTCACAGAAATGAGTCATTAAACAATCATTAACCACAACCCAATAGTTACGTAATTTCGCACCTTAGGATTTTTTACTTGTTTGGCAAAATTTCCACCTGGTTCAGAAAATATGACATTTGCATGGCCTAAGGCCCCTCTTGTACTGACGAAAGAGTAGTAAGTGCAAAGTGCGCCTCAAGCGCTTGTGCATCGTCACAAACATGTTCACGTCACATTTGATGTTCAGCATGAGTCCTTTCTTACAAGTGTTTCATGAAATATGAAGGTAGGGAATGGTTCTTTATGTATACTTGACTTGCTCATTCAAATTGCCAAACGTGGGATTAAGACAATAGACAACTTTTTGTGGTAACATAATATGTTGTACTCATTATTATGAATAAACCAAATTACTTTTCCATAAAAAATATTAACAGATCTTCATGTAATTTTAAAATAATGTAGGAAAAATATAAGGCAGTTATTTTATTTGCTTAACATAAAGGCATCATTAGACTTGAACCTTTACATAGTGTATGTGCTGCATGACCTATCAAAGTTCTTAGTTACTTATGGTTTTGAACTAACAGCCTTATATAACATGTTGGTTATACAACAGAAAAATAATCTAGATAACTCTGATATTTAGAAACATTCAGCACATTTTAGGGTGCTTGCTTTTATACTGATTTAATAAGTGCACTCGAAACAAGTCCAATTTCATAAAAAAGCACCGGCACTTCCACACTTACATAGATGAATCTATTTGTGGTGTCCTGTATTTAAATCACCTCACTTCTAAACATTTGTATTAGCATTAAAATATTTCCTCCTTTCATGTTTTACCGGATTCGTCTACTCTTTGGACAGTGCTGCCGATACTTTTTGTTTGTTATCATTATCATTATGTATACTGAGCAATTTACCATTCTAAACAACTTGTTGTTTCCTATTAAACCTAGAATTTGTGGTTCAGAGACTAGGTTGGGTTCCCATTGTTGGTGACTAGTATTAGTAAATGGACTTTAGATATCTACTTACCACTTTCTGGATGTTTTGTCTTGCATGGCATTGAATCAAAGGGTATGCCATGTGTTTTCTTTTAATTCATTGAATTGAAGGATATGCCATATGTTTTCTTTTAGTATATCATATTCTAGAATTATTTACTCCATTTCTAGTTTCCTACATTTGAATTGAGTTATATCTACATGCTCAATGTCTAGATTTTATGTTATGAGTATATTTGCATGCTCAAGATAGTGTAGCATTACTATCTGAATAGATAGTAATACTTAGAGCTTCTTTAGCCCAATTCGTTAGTCATATAACTAGTTCCTTAACCAGTTTGCTTTCTTGAAAACAAAATCTAAGATTATAAATTCTGGCTCCATTGTTGAGTTGGTGACAGGTTTGTTTGGTCCTCAAGAAATTGTCGCTCAGTCTTGGTGTAGAAAAAATCGGGCAGCTCAAATTTTAACCACCCGGTTAGATCGGAATCGGCCATTGGCCGGTTCTGGTTCGGCCGGTTTTGGTGAACCAGCCGGGTATTTTAATTTTTTTTAAAAAATTATATTAAATCCTAAAAAATAAAGGATTTTGTTTGTAGATGCATTTTTTAATGTTTTTCATCATTTTGGCAAAGATTGGAAATTGTTTTGGCCATTAATACTTATTTTTAAATTTTCCTATCTTTTTTGGAAAATTTAAAAAATACCCCTGGGAACAAATCAATTGCTTAAAATCCATTTTTTTTCATTAATTTTCACCTTCATTTGGATGCTGTTTGTTTAATCATGCTTCAAATATACTTTTTATATTTTATTATTATTATTTGTAATTTTTTCTTGCCCAGTTCGGCCAATTGAACTGTCTGGTTTACCGGTTTGTACCAAGTAACCGCTTGAGGCCCCATTTCCGGTAAACCATTCCGGTTCGATTTTTGCTACACTGCTTTGGCTAATGTAAATATCTACATGTTGACATAACTAATGTATGGCATAATTAGCGGTCCACTTTATCCTCCCAACAACTCAGCTTAACTAATGTATGGCATAATTAGCGGTCCAGTTTAGGTATCTTTGGATTAAATATACTGCGTCCAAATTTTCTTTACGTGGGCAATTTGTGAAATTTACTTCTTTTCCCTGTTGCATGTGCAATATGCTGCTTCGTACAACTCATTGCATACATTAGAATACCATTTTTTCTTTTACACTATATTTGAGAAATGCATGTCCTTTCATTTTCTTGATCTATGTATCTATTGATGTATGGTCTCGCGTAAAATCAGGAAACTCGAATATACTGAGAATATTTTCTATATAATGAGATTCTGTTGACAATTGCACATTTTCATTTGACACTATCTTGATAAACAAATATCACATTTGCCTCATCGAAGTCTTTTGTATCAATTTAGACAAGAGAAGCTTTGTAGTTTTCTTTGCAATTTGTAAGTTAAGGACCAAATTTAAGCATATCGTCAACACTGAGACGCATAACAAATAACTAACTTTACCATACACAATTATTTGTCCCATTTCATTTTAAGCCATTCGATACATTACCCAATCAAATTTCTTGTGCTATTGCTTAAGTGCATGTTTTAGTCCATAGAATGATTTAACTCATATAACGTCTTGGGCTTTGTGGAACTTGGTAACTGTCAGCATGGATAATTGGCCTTTTTGTTCACGTAAATCTGAACTAATTTATGTTATTAATTGATATTGTGTATTGGATAGCTTTTGTTTGCTCTGCTTCCTTGCGAGAAAGTACTCGAATTTCTGACACTCTACATATCTAGTATCCCGGTGATTTTTAACATTTATTGTTCCATGGCTGCATATTTGTGCGGTTCATTGAATGGATCATGCAAGAGGAGAGTCAGAGTGATTTTTTGATGAAAGTGGAAGAACTCGTTATTTGAGTTCTTGATTGTTTCATTAGTTGATTCTTATTGGGATATTTTTATTATGAAACAGTTTCATCTTTCACTGATGTACATGGGTTGTATTTTTCTCAAAACATCTGCGCAATATTCTTTCACTATAGCGGTGACCTTTATTGGACCTTTTGTGGTAACCTGATTACTACATTTCACTTGAGTTTGAAAGGTTACTAATACATGGTCTTCCTGAATCTTCAATACTGCAGACCAGGATGGTAGAGAAAACGAAGGAGAATGGGCCTGAATCCATCGTGCATGGGGATGAAGAAGTAACTTCCCATGTTTGTAAAGTCTGCTTCGAAACTGCAATTGCTGCAGTGCTTCTCCCCTGTCGACATTTTTGTTGTAAGTGGGGACATCATTTTCATTCAACTGCAATAAATATCTATATAGTAATCATGCAACACTTGCTTTTTAGTCACCGTGTATTTGATGTTGTGCAGTATGTAAGCCATGTTCACTGGCTTGTTCCGAATGCCCTCTTTGTCGCACAAAGATTGCAGATAGGATAATTGCCTTCACTTCATAGTATTTAGTGAAGTCCTTAGAATAATAAGGTGATCTTTCTGATTTCTACATAGGTTTGTTGGTCTTGTTTTCAACTATGCTTCCACTTTAGTGCAAGCTTTCATATCCTAGAGTTCTCTAATTTTGCATATGCATTCACTAAACCTGTCAATTAAGACATTTTCCTAGCAGCCATGTCCAATATGTTTAAGCATATGTTTTTTTCTCCTTTTTTTGGCATAAAGATGACATCAAGCAGATTTTTTAATTCTTGCCTTTTTGTCTTTTGGCAGGAATCGAATTCAGAAGTCCACCCATTTTTTAATTTCATGTAATATTATACCTGCAATTCTTTTATCAATCCAAATGTAAGTATTCTTAGGGTTGTATAGTGATACTGTTGCATCTGTCTTCCGAGGGCTGTAAAATGAGCTGTTTATTTTTTTCTGTCCTTGCAAGCTGATGTTTCATGTTCGGGTACAAAGAAAAATGTTCCAGGCAATTTGTATTGTATATGAGTAAGAGATGTCTGACGCTGTGTTGTTTTGTATTTCTTCTACAATACCAGCTTTTATGAGCTCCCTTTGCTCTGCGGTTGCTCATTTAACAATCTTTGAAGGCAATGTTCAACTGTATATCTATTTTTTGTTGATTGTTTTGTTTTCAATTTGTTATTTCCCGTGTATGGTCAGAAATTGAAAAGGATTAGAAAAGGCAATACATAAAACCAGTGTTTTAAAAAACGCCGAGTCGAACCGGACTCGCCCGGTTCGACTCGGAAATCGTGCAAAGGGGATCGGATCGCCTAAAAAATCAGAAATCGTCTGGTTCTACAGAGAACCGGACGATTATGTACAGTGAATCGCCGATTCACTGTACGGAATCGGCGAGTCCGAACAGTGAATCGGCGAGTCCGTACGGAATTTTTTTTTTTTGTAATCCATGATAGATTTTTTTGTAATACTT